AGGCTGGCCTCAAACTCCCAGAGATCCACCTGCATCTGCTTCCCAAGTGCTAGGATTAGATTTTACTTTTTTTTTTTTTTAAATGTATTTTTGAGACAGGGTCTCCCTGTAGCTCCAGCTATCCTGGAACTCACTATGTAGACCAGGCTGGCCTTGAACTTACAGAGATCCGCCTGCCCCTGCCTCCCAAGTGCTGGGATTAAAGGTGTGCGCCACCACACCCGGCTAATCATTATACTTTTTAAAATTTTTAATAACTACATGATTAGAAATGAATAGAAAACTCCAGACACATATAAAAGGAAAAACAAGAGTATCAACCAACTTCCATAATTATCAACTCATGGATAATCTTATTTAATCAGTATCATCCTTTTCATTCCCAGCTCTGATTGTTATGAACTAAGCCTCAGTAGTCCTCCGTTACTATTTAAGATGGGATCTGATGGGACTGGATAGATGGCTCAGTGGTTAAAAGCACTGACTTCTCTTGCAGAAGACCCAGGTTTAGTTCCCAGCACCCACATGGTGGCTAACAACTGTCTGTAACGCCACTTCCAGAGGATCTGAAGCCCTCTTCTGACTCCCTTAGGCATTGCATGACTCAGGTGCACTTACACACATGCAAGCGTAGCACTCAAACACATAAATAAAAATAATAAATAATTTTTTTTTAAAGGTGGAACTGGTGTGAAGAGATAACTCAGTGGTTAAGAGCACTGTCTGCTCTTGCAGGGGGCCTGGGTTCAATTCCCAGCATTCATATGGCAGCTAACAGCCATCCATAACTCCAGTTCCAGGGGATCCAACACCCTCTTCTGACCTCTGTGGGCATTGCACGACATGGGTGTACCCACCTACATGCAGGCAATACATGTACACATAAAAGTAATAAATAAAAAAAATTTTAAAAAGATGTGACTGAGTAGAGCACCTGCATAGCATGCAGGAGGCACTGGGTTCAGTACCTAGCACCACAAAATAACAAATAGGTAAATAATTCAGCTGAATTACTTCTTGGCCTTTGGGCTACGATCAACTATAGAATCTATTCTTTTCATCTTAATATCTGATACATTCTCTATCCAAGGATAATATATTATGTAGATTTCTGGAGATGGAACAGGAGTTTGGTCTGTCTACACAATTGCATTGTTCTAGTATTGCAACAACCCCAGGGGTGGCACACACACACAAAAAAATGTCAATGTGTAAATAGTTCAAGTGGTATCTCCAAATGAAGAGGTCCCTCTTAAAAAAAAAAAAAAAAAAAAAAAAAAAAAAGCCATGACATTTTTATCACAGCTGAACAAAATTAACAGTAATTCCAAAGTATCACTAAGTATTGAGTGTTTCACATTTCCCCAATTGTCTGTTCATTTGATTTTATAGTTTGATACACAGGTGCCAGAGAAAATCCACACTTGGGCTTGGTGTTAAATCTCTTAACCATGAATTCTTTCTCCATCCAGCTTTTTTTTTTTTTAACCTTGGAGTTTCTTGTTTTTCATGAGGTGAGAAATGAGATCTTTATTTCAAAATAAATCAACTTTTGGAAGGTAGCTTCTTGGCATTTTTTTTCTCCTGAGTAATAACCAGGATTTACCCTTGAGAATTTGGTTGTGCCTATTTCTGGGTCTTTCTACTTTGGAGCTTCCTTTCCAACCCTTCCGATTTGTGCATTTCACCAGACTCCAGACATTATCTGACCTGGCCTCCAACCAAAGAGTAAAGTCACTAAAATAGAATCCTAGGACAAAGTCTTTGCAGGACAGAAAGTATCCTTCCAGTGGCTTAGTGAACCACAGCACTATATGAAAGTCATATAGTCATTTGTTATCAAGAGTCATTTTTAAGAGGTATGTGTTGGAGCACATCTGTAATTCTAGCACTCCTGGAAGCTAACGCAGGAGAATTGCAAGTTCCAGGCCAACCTGGGCCAGATCCTATCTCAAAAATAAAAAAACTCATTTTCAGGGCTATCAAGATGGCTCAGCAGGTAAGGGTGCTTGCTGTCAGGTCTGATGACTTGAGTTGGATCTCCAGGCCCCACATGATAGAAGGAGAGGATAAACTCTCAGAAATTGTCCTCTGACATCTGGAAGCAAGCGCAGGCACACACACACACACACACACACACACACACACACACACGTACACACACACAAAATGTAACTAAAAATCAGTTTTGAAAGCTAAATGTCATTGTCAGGCATGGTGGCCCATGCCTTTAGTCCTAGCACTTGGGAGGCAGAGGCAGGCAGATCTCTGTGAGTTTGAAGCCAGCCTGGTCTACATAGCGAGTTCCAGGCCAGCTGGGGCTACAGGGAGACCCTGCCTCAAAAAGACAAAAAAAAAAAAGGTAAATGTCCACTTTTTGTTGAAAATTTCATAACATTCACCATGTGAGGCTCTTGGAAACACAATATTTTCTTAGTGTCTTGTATTTCAGAACCTGGACTATTGGAGAAACTGTACAGGAAACAGAATGAAAGCTGGAGTAGCATGTCATCCTGTCTCTTAGATTGAAGTGTTAAACTTAAACTCCATTGAATCCCATTCTTGTCCAACTCTTACCCAGCTAGAACTTGGATAGAATAAAAAATTTTGATAGAATAAAAGAAACTGGGGAAAGTATGTGATAGGACATAATAAGGAAGAGAAAATAAGTTATTTTAGAGGCCAAATGCTCTACCACAATTCAGAAACTCTTAACTCCAGACTGGAGAGCCCTTCAGAGACTTGCTGTAGGGCACAAGGTGTATGTGTACAAATAGTGACCACCCAGACTAAGGCTCTCAGGGGATGCGATCCAAACACCACTGGTAGCAGTTTTACAAACTCTCCAGGTGATCCCATTGTGCAGCCACATTTGAGACCCACTCAGGATGGGTATCTCTCACGTTCTTATGATTTACTCCATAGAAGACACATAGATAGGGATAAATGGGATTTGTCCCATTCACAGATTAGTCAAATGCAAGATAAATATATATGTGTATGAGTCAGGCATAGGGGTGTCACTTATTATCCCAGCATTTAGGGATGGGAAACAAAGAGTGCAGGAGTGCAGCAAATTTGAGACCTCGTCTATATAGCAAGACCTTGTCTAAGAAAACAAAACAAAATTTTAAGGAAGAATATGAATACAGGCCAGCAACATTGCTCAGTGGGTAAAGACACCTGCCACTAAGTCTGATGATCTGAATTTGATCCGTGAGACCTACATGGTGGAAGGAGAGAACTGACTCCTGCAAGTTGTCCTTTGATCTCCACTCACACACTGTGGCACACATATGTGCCCGTGCACATACACACAAACGTGTGTGCACGCACATGAAGTTCATATATATATATATATACTCTCATGTTCACAAATAAATAATAAATGTAAAACTAATTAAGACTATGAAGGTGCTGGAGAGGTGGCTTAGAGTTTAAGAGCACTGGCTGCTCTTACAGAGGACCTGGGTTTGGTTCCCAGCACCCACATGAAGGCTCACAACAGTCTATAATTCCAGTTCCAAGGATCCAGCATCCTGTTCTGGCCTCCCAGGCACTGCATGCACATGGTGACCATACATGTGGGCATAACACTCATACACATAAAATGAAAGATAAATATTTTTTAAAAGAATATGAAGCCTGGCATGGTGGCACATGCCTTTAATTCCATCTCTTGGAAGGCAGAGGCAAGTGAATCTCTGTGAGATTGAGTCCAGCCTGGTCTATAGAGCAAGTTTCAAGCCAGCTGGGGCTACAAGGAGACCCTTTCTCATGAAACCAAAACCCAGACAAAACAAATCAAAACAAAAACACCAAAACCAGACTATGAACATAAGGAAGCACAAAGATTACATGTATTCCTTTCCGATATGAAGCACTTAACACTAGCTTGGAGTGATGTTCAGGCCTTGTGCTGGATAGCTTTAGTGTCAACTTGACACACCTGGGTTGAGGGAGCCTCAGTTGGGGAATTGCCTCTATTGGACTGGCCTGTGGCCACGTCTGGGACATCTTCTTGGTGAGTGATGTGGGAGGACCCAGCCCACTGTGGGTGGTGCCACCCCTGGGCAGGTGGGCCTGTGTTGCATAATAAAGCTGGCTGAGCAGGGGCCCTGGGAGCAAGCCAGTAAGCAGCATTCCTCCATGGCCTGGAGGCTCCTGCCTCCAGGTTCCTGCCTTGAGTTCCTCCTACCTTGGGCTCCTGGATGAACTGTGACCCGGGATATGTAAATTAAATAAACCCTTTCCTCCCCAAGTCTGTAGTGGTCAGAGTATTTTGTCACAGCAATGAAGAACAAACTAGGACAGGCCTGTAATCCCAGCTGTTGGGAAACTAAGTAGGAGGATCAGGTGCTCAAGATTATTCTCAGCTACACAGTGAGAGTTCAAGGCCAGCCTGGACTCCACAAAACTCTATCTCAAGAGAAGTTACTTGCTGGTTACTGGCTTATATGTGATATCCATAGTTGGAAGTGAGATACCTTGAGAGCTGAAACAAACAAGTCACCAGATCTCTTGTTTCTTCTCTTTTTAGAATGCTGCTTCTGAATTACTTGGGCAAAACTGGGCCCAAAACTCCTTTGATGGCAGCTGCAACATTTTCAGTGGGTTGGAATACTTTCGCCTGCTCGGAGTCACTGGAAAAGCCACTAAACTGGCTGCTTTTTAATTATTACTTGACAACTTGTCTCCAGTCTTCAGTTAATAAGTAAGTTATATTTAAAACTTTTTGTCTCCAGGGTCAGAGAGATGGCTCAGCAGTTAAGAGCATTAGCTGCTCTTGCAGAGGACCTGGGTTCAGTTTCCAGCACCCACAGGATGGCTAACAACTATTTGAAACTCCAGTTCCAGAGGATCTGATGCCCTTTTCTGACCTCCACAGGCATTGCACACATGTGATGCACTTACATATATGCAGGCGAAACTCTCATACACATAAAATAAAAATAAATAAATAAGTAAATAATTTAAAGGCCTTTAAAACAAATGTCAGTATACTACTATATCTGATTAATCAAAATTTAAGGGATTTTTTTCATTAAACTTTTATTTACGTATTGTATGTGTATGTTTGGGCTCCCCAGGGTGTGTGTGGAGGTCAAAGGACAGCCTGTGGAAGGGTGTTTTCTCCTTTTGCCATGTGGGTCCTGAGGATCTAACTCAGGTCAGGCTTGAGAGAAGGTGCCTTTTTTACACTAAGCTATCTCATTGGCCCCGCAAATATTTTTTGAATACTAACTTTGCTCCTTGTGCTACATTATTTAGTTATTTACTATTATGTATTTTCAGTATGCTTAAAGTAGAGATGGCATTAACTTTAATTTTGAAATTCTTTTGTTCCAGGCACAGGCATATGTTCGTAAAAGAAATTGATATGGACCAGGTCATGAAGGTAAGAAACAAGCTTTTCTGAGTTCTTTTGTTTCCTCTTTGGGATTCAAGAGTAGTTAAACTTTATTTTTGTCTTTCAGGCTAAGTCTATCAGAGAGTTTGATAAACGATTCACTTCAGTCATGTTTGGATACAGAACAATCGATGATTATTATACTGACGCAAGTCCAAACCGTAGGCTGAAATCAGTGGGAATTCCAGTGTTATGCCTGAACTCTGTGGATGATGTTTTCTCACCCAGCCATGGTAAGTTAATCTCTACATACGTTGAGATGAATTAACTTTTTTTCAAAGATTTATTTTTGTTTATCTATATATGTGTATATGCCACATATGTGCAGGTTTCCATAGAGGCCAAAAGAGGTCATAAAGTAAAAGACAGTTTTGAACTACCCAACATGGGTCTTAAGAACTGAACTGTAGTCCTCTGGAAGGACAGCAGGCTGTCTAAACTGCTGAGCCTTCTCTCCAACCCCTGAATTAAGTTTTAAAATATTGTTCTTTTAAAGAAAATACAATAATAAAAATAAAAAATCCAATGATGTAATATTTTCTATTACAATTTTTAAAAAATCTAGCCTGGTATATAGTAGTATGTGCCTATAATCCTAATACTCAGGAGGGTGAGGCAAGAAGATCAAGCGTTTGAGGCCAGCCTGAACTATGTTGAAGGGCAACCTAGGTTAGTGAGACACTATCTTTTTTTTTTAATATTTTATTTTTATTTTATGTGATGAGTGTATTGCCTGCATGTATGTGAGTGCACCCATGTCGTGCAATGCTGCAGAGGTCAGAAGAGGGCTTTGGATTCCCCTGGAACTGGAGTTAAGGACAGTTCGTAACTGCCATGTGGGGGCTGGGAATTGAACCCGGGTCCTCTGCAAGAACATTCAGTGCTCTTAACTGCTGATCCATCTCCCCAGCCCCAAGATACTATCTTAAAAAATTAAAAGCCAGGAACTGGAGAGATGGATCAGCAGTTAAGAGCACTGACTGTTCTTTCATAAGACCCAGGTTCAAATCCCAGCACCTACATGGTGACAAACAACTGTCTATAACTCCAGTTCTAGGGGATCCAATGCCCTCTTCTGTTCTCTGTGTGCACTGCACAACACAGGTGCACTTACACACATATACATAAAATTAAAAATAAAAATAATAAATAAAAAACAGGAGCTTCAGGGATGGAGAGATGACTCCACAGTTAAGAGTCCTGGATGCACGTGGAGATGACCAACATTCAGTTCCTAGCACCCAGTGGGCAATTAACAACTCTCTGTGGCGCCAGTTCCAAGGAATCTGATGCCTTTTGCTGGCCTCCATGGGCATTGTATGGATGCACTTACACGTACACAGGCAAAACACTCACACACATAAAATTTTAAAATAAATAAAATGTAAATAACTCAATAGACATAATGTTAAGTAGAAATTAAATTATCTGAATGACATAAGCTTATAATTCTGTTAGAATTGTTTGCCTTTGGGCTGGAGAGGTGGCTCAATGGTTAAGAGCACTGGCTGTTCTTGCAGAGGACCTGAGTTTGGCTCCCAGCACCCACATGGCAGCTAACAACTGGCTGTAACTCCAGTTCTAGGATATCTGATGCTCTCTTCTAGCCTTCATGGGCATTGCATACATGGGTATATTTACATAATGCTTTCAAGACACAAACATAAAAATATAAATATTTTTTTTAAATAAAATGAGATTTTCATGCTGTATGTGGTAGTGCATACCTTTATCTTTTTGGTAGTGAGCCTGAGCCTTTAATAGCTGTGCCAGTTCTCCAGCCCAGTGGTGCACACCTTTAATCCCAGCGCTCAGGAGGTTAGAGAGGTAGGCAGATCTCTGTGAGTCAGAGGCCAGCCTGGCTAAATAGAGAATTCAAGGTCAGCCAGTGCTTCATAGTAAGACTTTGTCTCAAAAAAAATTAGATATTCATAACTTAGTATCAAAATGTTTCAGATCTTGGGGGGGTGGAAAGATGACTCATCCATACAGAGTACTAACTGCTCTTGAAGAGGACCAAGTTCAGTCCCCAGCACCCACTTGGTGGCTAACAGTTGTCTTACAACTGTTTGTAATTCCTGTTCCAGGAGCTCTGATGCCTTCTTCTGACTTCCATGGGCATTGCACTTATATACACATAGGCAAAATACTCAGACACATAAAGTGAAAATAATAAAAAAATGTTTTAAATGTTTAATTTAATTTAAATTAAAACTCTTAACTGTTTTTAGAGTTACTACCTGTTATCAGAGACCCAGGAGGAGTTAGAACACTCCGTATTTTGCTTGTTCTCATTTAAACTTTTATTCCTATCAAATACACTGTTCTTTGAACAGATTAAGTCATGGTATCTTTGTTTCCAGAGAACCCTGTCATCACACACCTCTTCTTCCTCAGGTTCCTATAGAAAAGAATTGGACATTTTTCTTCCCAATCATCCTGGGAGAACTTGAGACATTAGAAACACAATGACCTTGAATATTTCAGTGATGGAAGCAAATGTGGGCTAAAAGGTCATTTTTTTAAAAGTCTAGTTTTGGGGCTGGAGAGATGGCTCAGCAGTTAAGAGCACTGATTCTTTCGCAGAGGACCCGGGTTCAAGTCCCAGCACCCACATGGAGGCTACGAACTGTCTTTAACTCTAGTTCCAAGGAAATCCGAAGCCCTCTTCTGACCTCCGCACATTGCACAACACGGATGCACTCATACATGCAGGCAATACATTCATACACATAAAATTTTTAAAAGTGTAGTTTTTTTCTTTGAATTACTGTAAAATATAAAATTATTCTAAAGCTAGCTTTTGTGATCTCTTAATGAAAGAAATATGAAATTTGTAACAATTATATCCACGCATTTTTCATCTATTGAAAGAAATCATATTAACTCAAAAATCAATAGGATTGACCTCTAACTTTATTCTATGAAATTTTAAGGGTTTTTTTTTTCTTGTTTTTTTGTTTGTTTGCTTTTACTTTTTATTGTGTAATGGAGGGTGGGGGGATTACATTTTAGCCTTCCCACCCTCAAAATTTAAATTATTACTGAAATTCCTGGTAATCCCCTTTATGATCTCCAGATGGACTTTTGAAGACAATATAACCAGGAAAACTAAAGCATTCTTCCTCTAAACACAGACAACATTATTTATATTGAGGGTAAAAGTTATACTAGAGCCAGGCGTGGTGGCACGTGCCTTTAGTTCCAGCAATCGGGAGGCAGAGGCAGGTGGATCTCTGTGAGTCCGAGGCCAGCCTAGTCTACATAGTGAGATAGTGAGTTCCAGATCAGCTGGGGCTACAGGGAGACCCTGTCTCAAAAAGATACCCCCAAAAAATTATACTAGAATTTATCACTAAACGAACTTTATTTTTTCCATTCTTAAATGTCTTTAGTAAATATCTCACTGCCCTGGTGATTTCTTGTTCTTAATTTCTTGTAGTATACAAGCCTTTAAACTGCCCTTGGATTTTCTGCACCTCTCTTGGCACTTGAGCAACTGAGAAGTAATACTACTAGCCTTAAGAGTTTTTATTTATTTGTATTTTATGTGTTTGCCTGCGTGTATGTAAGTGTACCATGTGTGTGCAATGCCATAACAGACAAGAAGAGGGCGTTGGATGCCCTGGAACTGGAATTATAGATGGCTGTTAGCTTCCATATGGGTATCTCTCCAAGGCTCTTTTGGGGGGTGGGGGGGATGGAGTTGGTTTGTTCATTTATGAGATAGGGTCTCCCTGTAGCCATAGCTGGCCTGGAATTATGTAGACCAGGCTGGCCTTGATCTCACGTAGATCTGCCTGGCTCTGTCTTCCAAATGCTGGGATTCAAGGAGATGCACCACCATGCCCAGCACCTGTTTATTTTTGAGACAGGGTTTCATTGTGTAGCCCAGGTTGGAATGGAACTCTTGATCTTTCTCCCTCAACCTCCTGAATGCTGGTATTTCAGGCTTGAGCCACTAAGCCTGACTCAAAAAATACTTTATGAGGTGCTGGAGAGATAACTCATGGTTAAGAGCTCTTGCTGCTCTTCCAGAGGACCTGGATTCAGTTCCCAGAACCCACATGGCAGCTAACAACCATCCATGACTCCAATTCTAGGGGATCCACACCCTCATCTGACCTCCGTTGTTACTTAACACACATGGTGTACTTACATACATGCAAGCAAAATACTCATACACACATGTAGGTAAGTGCACCCATGTTGTGCAATGCCTGTGGAGGACAGAAGAGGCTGTTGGATCCCCTAGAACTGAAGTTATAGACAGTTGTTAGCTGCCATGTGGATGCTAGGATTAGAGCCTGGGTCTTCTGCAAGAACAACCAGTGTTCTTAACCGCTGGGCCATCTCTCCAACCCCTAAAATAATATGAAATTTTTTTCTCATTATTTTCCCCCTAAATACTTTTAAAATTTTTTCCCAAAAGACTTCATTAAAAACAGTTATAGTGGGTGACAGGTGGAGCTCAGTGGGTAGTGTGCACTTGTGTGATGTATGTGTGACCCTAAGTTTAATCACAGCACCAAAACACAAAATTACTCTGATTACATGCCTACTGTACATATTATAAAAATGTTAGAAAATCCCAGGGGCTGGAGCGATAGCTCAGCCATTGAGAGCACTGACTGCTCTTGCAGAGGACCCAGGTTTGATTCCCAGCACCCACATGGCAGCTACAAACTGTCCTTAACTCCCAGTTCTGGGGGAATCCGAAGCCCTCTTCTGATCTCAGTGGCATTGCATGACATGGGTGCAGTCACTTACATGCAGGCAATACACTCATACACCTAAAATAAAAATAATCCCAAAAGTGTGTGTGTGTGTGTGTGTGTGTGTGTGTGTGTGTTGATCACCCATCTTTTTTCTATTTAGCCATAGATAATTTTTGATAGCTAGAACTTATGGCCTCTGACTACAGATCAGAAAATAAAACTAGCTTTATTATCTCTTAAATTATATTATTTGCATATTTTTCTTTAGATAAGGTCTAATGTTTCCCCATCCATTTTTTTATAGTTCACCCACCGAGCCATCTTACTGGCCTAAGAATCAGCCTATATTTTTGTGTTATATTAAATCTTAGATAAATAACAGTGTAATACATGACTATGAGTATGAATTAATATACAAGTATAGGTGGTTGGTTGGTATAAATTGTCAAACTCATTTCATTTAGCCACACTCATTACAAGTATTTGTTTAATGGTATTTTTGTTTATATTGATTGGAAATGATAAGATACATACTTTTCCTAACAAAAGTTAATCTCTCTCCTTGTCTCCCTCTCTTCCTTTCTTCCTCTCGCCCCCTCTTCCCTGCCCCTTACCCACCTCTCCCTCTGCTTACTGAGGCTCTTTTTTATTCCTCCAGCTATCCCAATAGAAATCGCTAAGCAGAACCCTAATGTGGCTTTGGTCCTTACTTCCTACGGAGGCCATATTGGTTTTCTGGAAGGAATTTGGCCCAGGCAATGCACTTACATGGATCGCGTCTTCAAGCAATTTGTGCAGGCTATGGTTGAGCATGGACATGAACTCTCCAACATGTAGTTCTCTGGGTACATTATTTTCAAGCCACCATTGTGAAGGCACTCAGCTTAGTGCACACATTTTAACTACTGTATATAAAGCCATTACGCCAGCAGATGGGTGAAGAGGTCCAGAATGACATGCAAAAACTACTTTTTAGGGAAACAAACAACTTTGTAGCAAGAAACTAAATATAGTTTAGATTGTTATGTCTGTAGATTATATTTTTACTATGCCTTACCAAGTATGACCTTAAATAAAGTAGTCCTTATATCCATGAATTGCACTTAACCAAAACTATTGTGGGAAAAGATTTTAATTCCTCAGGGTTTTAATTTAGGCTAGTATTTTTTTAGATTACTCAGCTGAGGTGACTTAATAGTACTTTAATAACTGTTAAGAGATTTTTGATTATTTGAATGTAAGTTATAAGATGGCACATTCCTAAGGATATTTATACTTTCATGATAACATGCTGAAAGAAGGTAGTGTGCCATGTGCTAAGTGTTCTGTGTCCTGACTTTAAAAGGCAAGTGAAACAATGGCAGACTGACTTCTATACCTGCTGTTTCACTCTGACAATATTAAATTAGGGCTGATTTATGTTTTATAATTATTATAATTTACATGCTTATTTTTAAAATAGTATATGTGCATACATATATCATTATATTAAAATAAATTCTATCATTTTAAATGGTTTCTTTGTGAGTTTTTATCTAGTAAAAAAAAGAAAAGGGATTCAGGGCTAGAGAGATGACTCAGAGGTTAAAAGCACTGGCTGTTCTTGGTTCTTCCAGAGGACCCAGATTTGGTTCCCAGCACCCCCATGGCAGTTAACACCTGTCTTGTAGCTCCAGTTCTAGGGGATCTGATGCCCTCTTCTGACCTCCTTGGGCATTCCATGACACAGGTGCACTTACATACATGCAAGCAATGCACTCATCCACACAAAATTAAAAATAAAAATTTTAATTTTATATATATATATATATATATATATAATTTAAAAGGGTCCAGAAAATAATCCCTATAAAATAACATAATTTATTGATGTATTAGTAAGAAAAATGAAAACTGTCTATATTTGTCACTTTTCTGTTGCTGTGATAGAAACACTGACCCAAGCAGTTTATAGAAGGAAGAATTTATTTGAGCTTACGGTTCCAGGGGAATTACAGTCCATCATGGCAGAGAGGCATGGTGGCAGGAGGTGGCTGGAGCAGGAGCAGCAGAAGCTAAGCTCTCACATCATCATGCAGGCACAGGAAGCAAAAGAGATCTGGCAGAGCTTGAGAACTCTCTAAGCCCACCCCCAGTGACATGCTTCCTCCAGGATAGCTATGCCTTCTAAAACCTCCCAAATCATCTGGGGACACAAATGTCCAAATACTTGGAGCCTATGAGGGGGGACATTTTCATTCAAACCACCACATTCCACCCCCTGGCCCCCATAGGCTCATGACTATATAAAATGCATTTAGTCCAACTTTAAAAGTCCCCATAGTCATTCTTAATCTCACTACTATTCCAAAGTCCACAGTCAAAAGTCTGTTCTGAGACTGTGAAATATCTTAACTGTAAGCCCCTGTAAAATCAAAAGACAAATTATATACTCCCAACATACAGTGGAACCAAATACACATTACCATTCCAAAAGAAACCATGGAGGAAGAACTGATGACCCCTTCACTCTTCCATTTTTCACGCCTCTAAAGCCAGCACCAGGTGACTGACACTGCCAAGTTTGACTTCAAGTTTGGGATGCACTCCAGCCTGCTTTATCCATTTTAGAAGCTTTTCTCTTCAGTGACCCCTGCAGCATTTTCCTTTCACAAGTTGGAGGCTTAACTGGGTGTGGTCTTGCCCTGGAGGCACTCTCTCTCCATTGTTTAAGTTTGAATCGCTAGGCCCCTCCTTAATCACTTTAATCTTCTTATCAATAGGATCCTCTCCATCACATGCCAGGGCTTCAACATTCGTCTTCCTAGTGCTCTTTTTCAATCCATCCTGTACATTCTGTATTTCTTTCTGTCCCATTTTCCCTTTTTCTCTGTAAATCTGTATAATATTCACCATTAATAGCCATGCTGCCATTTCTACATTAGGCTGTCTTGAGATTTCTTCCACCAGAGAAATTAGTCCATGGCTTTTCAACTTAGCCTCAGGCAAGGTTTTTGGCTGTGGGCAGACTCCAGCCAGACTCTTTGCCAAAATATCCCACTGCTTCTTAAGTCCTTATTTCCCTCTGGAACTACATTGTTCTCTGCACTACTTTCTTCCAGGCATCTGCTAGATTGACCTGTTAAGTTCTGTTTACAGCAATCAACTGCTTTTCTAGCCCAAACTTCCAAAATCCTCTACATTCTTCCAAAATCCCATGTGGTAGTTTGAATGAATGTCCTCCATAGGCTACAAGTATTTGGACATTTCGTCCCCAGATGATGGTGCTGTTTTGGGAGGTTTTAGAAGGTGTGGCTATCCTGGAGGAAGCACGTCACTGGGAGTGGGCTTAGAGAGTTCTTAAGCCTTGCCAGATCTCCAGTTCTTAAGCCTTGTCAGATCTCTCTTGCTTCCTGTGCCTGCATGATGATGTGAGAACTTAGCTTCTGCTGCTCCTGCTCCAGCCACCTCAGGCCACCATGCCTCCCTGCCATGATGGACTATAATTCCCCTGGAACCATAAGCTCAAATAAACTCTTCTATAAATTGCTTGGGTCAGTGTTTCTATCAGAGCAACAGAAAAGTGACTAATATATTCTTTGCTTCACTATTCTAGATTATAGGCTCATATCAATTATACTAATTAAGAATTCTTTCAGAGTGAGGATATAGCTTATTTGGCAGAGTGCTTGCCTAACGTTCAGGGAGCCCTGGGTTCGATCCCCAGCACTCCATAAAATTGAGCATAGTGGCATAGACCTGTAATCCCAGCACTCTGGAGATGGTTCAAGATCACCTGAGCCTCTGCTGGGAAATTAGGAATAAATTAAGATGGATATTAAGAGTGACTTTGAAATGAAACTAGAAACTAGGAACTTCTCGGCTTCTCAGGCTCACTTATCACTTCACACAGAAACTATGTGAAACTGTGTGGAGCAGATGGGTGGACTTGAGAGTCGAAACTAAGTAGCTTGAACGCCTGTGTGTGATAGATAAGTAATCATATGGGAGAAGCCATATCTCAAGAAACAGCTGAAGTTACTGACGTAAGTCAGAAGGACTCCAGCCAAAAAGAAACATATAAAAACTGACAGCTCGAGGACTTCATCGATGCTTGGCTACACGAGATGCTGACTCTGTGAGCCTCATCCCGATGCATCACCCGAGAGACCGAATTCTGCCCACGGCCAGGCCAAAATTCTGTTTGAGACCAGATCGAGAACTCCGGCAGAATCTTGGTCTGCTCTAGAATTGGAAAGAGCTTGCCACGACCAGAGGTGATCAGAGCCTGTGAATTGACAGCTCCAGCCGGGAGAGTGCAGTGATCACGGCGGACGCTGAGTGACTCCACACGGAGTACTGGAAGGACTAACCTCTGGAAGGTGTTCCCTTGAGACTTTGGGACTCTGAATTGCTAGAGGACTGGGTTTCCCCTTGAGTGTTTGTGTTGATGTGTATTGTTATGCTTTAACTGTGTGATAAATACATATTGCAACCAATCAGTCGTGTGGAGAATCTCTTCTGTTCCGTATGTGCCTGTCCTAAGCTCTCCCGAGAAGCAGTGACACACTCTGGATGTCACGCTCAGGACAGTTACTGTCAAGTAACTGCCCAACTCGGGACAGAAACCCAACAGTAGCTTAACGAATAATATTTAATTAGGGTTGGAGGTATAGCTCAATGGCAGATGTGTGCTTAGCATACACAGGCCCTGGTTTTGAGCTCTAATAAAAGACATGCACACTTGCACATGTGTGCATTTAATTATCTTGCTATTGGCTCTTACAAGAAATCTAGTAGGCACAACTGAGCTGGTACTGTGGCTTACCAATGTCAGCAAAGACTCAAAGCCTATTTCTACCCCATCCTTAGCAGTGTGGCTGGTTATCTCCTAGGCACAGGGTAGCTGCTGCAACTCCAAACATCCTTATCTGTAGAGAAGGAAAACTGGTAACTGGGGCCAGACAGGCCTGCTTGCCTGCCTTTGGAGGAAAGTAAAAGCTTTCCTAGAGGTCTTGTGCTTACATAGGTTAGATGTGTCATATACCCACCCTGGCTGACTAGAGACAGGAAAAGCACATGTGTAAACTTTTTCAGTTGTTGCTATGGGCCAGGGGAGGTGATTGGTAATTGTCAAGCTGGTCAGCCAGTAGTGACATCTACACTATACAGCATCTTTTCCCTCCTTCTAGTTTGTAAAATATGTGGGATTTTGTCTGTCTGTTTGAGCCTAGATCCTTGTGCATGCTCAGCAACTGCTCTACAACTAAACCTTTTTACTTTTTTATTTTGAGATAAAGTCTCATAAAGTTGTCCAGACTGGCCTTTAACTCACTCAATAGCCTAGCAAGGCCTTGAACTTGTGATCCTGCCTCCGTGTCCCAAGCAGCTGAGATTATAGGCCTGCATCCTAACTATGCCCTGTTGACATGTTTTCATTTCTCTTGGATACCTTATCATACACTACCAGATGTTGCCAAACTACTGCACCCTTGTACATGTGCACCAGCGCACATGCAGACTCATTTCCCCAGGTTCTTGTCACCAGTTATTATCACCAATTTAAAAATTGTTCTTTTGGGGTTGAAGAGATGACTCAGCTCTTGCAGAGGGCCCAGACTCAGTTCCCAGCACCCACATGGTGTCATGCAACGCTGCGGAGGTTAGAAGAAGGCATTGGGTTCCCCTAGAAATGGAGTTAAGGACTGTTTATAGCCACCACGTGGGTGCCAGTTCTCTACAAGAGTAGTCAGTACTCTTAACTGCTGAGCCACCTCTCCAGCCCCTGAATTAGAAGTTTTAATTGTGATATCCTGCCAAAGCTCACATGTGAACAGGCATCATAGTGTTTAAAATTTCTGCCATGTGAACACATGTAACATACATAAAACTCTAAAAACTAGATTAGAGATGATAACTATGGAATCTATAATATTCCCATCTCTATTATTCTTTTTTATTATGTACAGTTTTGTTAATTCCTTGTTCAAATATTATCTTTAAAAACCAGGTGCATACCTATACTCCCAGCATTAGGGAAATGGAGCCAGGAGTCTCAAGAGTTCAAGGCCAGCTTTGGCTAAATAGAGAATTTGAGGCCAGCCTGGGCTACAAGAGACCCATCTCAGAATTCATGTAATAGTAAAAGGAGAGCTAACTCCTGAAAAATACAGAGATTGGGGCTAGAGAGATGGCTCAGTGGATAAGAGCATGGGATGCTCTTGCAGATGACCCAGGTTCAGTTCCCAGCACCCACGTGGGAGCTAACAATCGTCTATAACTCCAGTTCCAGGGAATCTGACTCCCTCTTCTAACCTCTGTGGGCATTGCACAACATGGGTGCACTTACACACATGCAGGAAATACACTCATATGTTGGGGGCCTCTGTTATGTGAAGTAGAAGTCTCTTCATATCCGGATAGCTCACGAGCTCGGAGCCATGTGCTGAGACTCCTTTCATAGCAGGGTGCTTTCCTGGCATTTTTCCTGACTCTCTATGTAATGTATGTATATATGTAAATATGATCTATGGAG